GGGAATTGGGAAAAGGACAGTCTTCTTCTCTCTTAACATTAAACTTAGCTAGCCACAAACACTGACCCAAACATACAACAATATTCCTAACACCAAACCAACACATTCTTACTTACCTTTCTTACTACATTCACCATAATACCTCATTGTCTCTATGAAAGGCGAAGAGCTCAACTGAACAATAGCCATGAAAGTATTTATAAAAAAGACAAAGAGAGGAAACCTTAAGAGTGACTGGAGTCAGGCCGCCAGATCGGGACTAATAATATTGCTGATTCTTCTTTGGATTTTATCAAGGAGCTCAAGGTAAAAAGCAGGGGCACTGGTCTATATGTGACAGCAATATTCTAAGCATGGACGAATGGTAGACTTTTAGCTTTTAGCAAAGAGCTACCTTTAGATCAGTGTAAAAACGTTCTGTTTTTTTTTCTGCCTGCTTATACCATTTTTATTCATGAATAGTTCGTTTTGCGTTGTGTTTATTGAACATGAGATTATAGTTAAGCATTGATTTGATTTCTATTTGAGACTACAACTGAAAATTGCTTGAGTCTATACTTGAGCTTCTCAGTAATCATTGGTCAAGTTTATACTTTAGTCTGTAATATGCATTGACCTGATATTTATATTTTAGTCAATCGTTAATAATTGCTCCGTACAACAATAAGTGTATACAGGATATGCAAACTGATGGTAGGCAAGGTTTTCATCTTGTTTTCTTTCGTTTACTGTGTTGCAAGTAGTAATTAACTAATCAATTAAATCCCAGGGAAAAATCAGTTAATTTAAAGTTTTTTTCCTTCTTCCTCCTTTTGTAAACTTTATATTATTCTTATTTATGAATAGTTTGTTTTGGGTTAAGTTGGTTAATTTTAACACATAACAAACTTTATAATGCTTTTTGCGTCTGATCTTAATTTTATTGAGTCGATAGGTAAGCATTGGCCGAGTATTTATATTGGAGTCAATCAATAAGAATTGATCTGTTGGTCGGATTTATGTTTGAGCTTATAACTAAAATTACTTGAGCAGAGACCTAAGTCTGTAAGTCACTATCGGTCGGGATTACACTTTAGTCTATCGATATACATTGACCTGGTTCATACTGGATACTATAGTTAAGCATTGGTCAGATTTGAGTCTATAGGGAAACATTAGTTCAAGTTTTATTTGAGTCATTGACCATTGGTCAGGATTATATTGAAGTCATTAGGTAAAAATTTGTCGGGTTTATACTTGAGTAAATATTATTCTGGGTTATACTTTAATTCATAGGTATTATAAGTAAGCATTCGTCAGGTTTATATTTGAGTATAAAAGTAAATATTAATCAGGGACATACCCGAGTCTGTAGATAAACTTTCGTCGGGTTTATAAATGAGTCTTCAGGTAAACGTTGGTCTGGTTTAAATTTGAATCTACGCATTATATTTGAATCTCGTATTGGTCTCGGTTCTATTTGACTATATAGGTAAACGATAGTCGGTTGGTATATTATTCCGGATTATAGTTGATTCTATAAGTAGATCATTATACTTAGCTCTATAGGTAAGTATTCAACAGGTGAAGTCTATTTTCAGATTTGAAAATAAAATTTCCATTCAGTGGTTCTTTTTTCTGTTCACCCATAATACGAAGAAATACTGGAAACCTGCCATAGAATATAAACATTGAAGAGGTTTGGTGATGCAAATGTTTCATTAAATTATTTGCTTTTGTTTCCTTTTCGATATCCCCTTCTTTCTTTCTTTCTTTCTTTCTTTCTTTCTTTCTTTCTTTCTTTCTTTCGTGCGTACATTCGTTCGTTTGTTCTTTCTTTCTTTCTTTCTTTCTTTCTTTCGTTTCTTTCTTTCGTTATTTATTTCTTTTTCTTTCTTTTTTATCTATTTATTTCGTTCTTTCTTTCGTTGTTTCTCTTTTCTTTCGTTATTTATTTATTTCTTTTTTTTCATTCGTTCTTTCTTTCGTTTTTTCTTTCTTTCTTTCGTTATTTTTTCTTTTTTTTCCTTTATCTTTCTTTTGTTCTTTTTTCTTTTTTTTCTTTCGTTCTGTCTTTCTCTTCCACTTTCTTTCTCACTTCTTACTTTCTTTCTTTTTTTCTTTCTTTCTTTCTTTCTTTCTTTCGTTTCTTTCTTTTGTTATTTATTTCTTTTTCTTTCTTTTTATCTATTTATTTCGTTCTTTCTTTCGTTCATTCTCTTTTCTTTCGTTATTCCTTTCTTTTTTTTCATTCGTTCTTTCTTTCGTTATTTTTTTCTTTTTTTTTCCTTTATCTTTCTTTTGTTCTTTTTTCTTTTTTTTCTTTCGTTCTGTCTTTCTCTTCCACTTTCTTTCTCACTTCTTTCTTTCTTTTTTTCTTTCTTTCTTTCTTTCTTTCGTGCGTACATTCGTTCGTTTGTTCTTTCTTTCTTTCTTTCTTTCGTTTCTTTCTTTCGTTATTTATTTCTTTTTCTTTCTTTTTTATCTATTTATTTCGTTCTTTCTTTCGTTCTTTCTCTTTTCTTTCGTTATTCCTTTCTTTCTTTTTTCATTCGTTCTTTCTTTCGCTTTTTCTTTCTTTCTTTCGTTATTTTTTTCTTTTTTTTTCCTTTCTTTCTTTCTTTTCTTCTTTTTCTTTCTTTCTTTTTCTTTCGTTCTGTCTTTCTCTTCCACTTCCTTTCTCACTTACATTTTCTCTCTTTCTCTCTCTCGTGCAAACACATACACACACGCACACACGCTCACACGTAAACACGCACACACACACACACACACACACACATATATATATATATATATATATATATATATATATATATATATAGATAGATAGATAGATAGATAGATAGATAGATCTTCTGATTAATTTTCTTCTACTGTTGTTATCCCTTCTCTTTTTCCTTCTAATCGATTTGTTTTCTTTCAATATTTATTTACCAAAATTTCATCGTCCGGTTTTTTCTTCACCATTTTTTTTTATTATCAAGTGTCGCTCGCTGTCAAGGACAGGCTCCGCAAAGGGGTCAATCAAACATCACTTCTCGATCAAAAATGTTGGCTTTCTCAGCCATCTTTAACCCATTCCAACCTCCCCTAAGCTATAAAGAAACCCAAATGGCAAATCATTAAACAAAAAAAAACAAAAAAAAAAAAAAATCCTACGAGCCTTTCTAATCTTAAATCAATAAATGCAGATGTATCCATCACCAAACGCATGCAGGCATCATTTTTCACAATCACGTGTTTTCTTTTACTCTTATGGAAGTTAGTGTTATTATTCTATTTATTTCACTACTTGATCTAAACCTCACATAGAGGACTTCTACTTGATGGACTCGTGGAAATTTCACATGTGTTGGAAAGTGTGATCGTTCATTATCTCATGCCTCGTCTCTTCTTTTCTCTCAAACCTTGTCTATATCTTATTTTCTACTTTATTCCTTCCGGCTTTAGTTGCCAGTCCATGTTTTTAGCTAAACGCTGTTCATTGTTGTCTTTTTTCATTCTTTTAATATTTCTTTATTTTATATACTTTAGTTTTGTCTTCTTTATCATTCCTTTCTCTCGTCTCTCTTTTTTATTTTATCTATTCTTTTCTTTATGTGTACTTTCAATTCTTTTATCTCGTCTCTCTTTTCTTACTTCTTTAATTTATATATTTTCTTTTCGTTTACCTCAGATCTTTTCACTCGTCTCTCTTTTATAATAATTATTTTCCCTCGTGTATTTTTGGTTAATTTTGATCTCTCTCTTATCCTTATTTTATTACAATTCTCTTCTTCCATATATTATTTTTGTCTTCTTTTTCAATATTTCTCTCTTTCATTACAATTACTTTCTTTCATATATTGTTTCTCTCTTGTCTCATTATTTCTCTATTTTATTACAATTCTCTTCTTCCATATATTATTTTTGTCTTCTTTTTCAATATTTCTCTCTTTCATTACAATTACTTTCTTTCATATATTGTTTCTCTCTTGTCTCATTATTTCTCTATTTTATTACAATTCTCTTCATCCATATATTATTTTTGTCTTCTTTTTCAATATTTCTCTTTCTCTTTATTACTCTATTCCTTTTTTTCCATATATTTTTTTTTTTCAATATTTTGTCTCATTATTACTTTCTTTCATATATTATTTTCTCTCTTTATTTTATTTTACAATTCTCTTCTTCCATATATTATTTTTTTACAATTCTTTCTTTCATATAATTTTTCTCTCATTATTTTCATTATAATTTTTCTTCTTTTTTTTTTTCTCTCTTTATTTTTCTCTCTTGTCTTGTTATTTCTCTTTTTTTATTCCATATATTATTTTTTTTCTCTTTTCAATATTTCTTCCATATATTATTGTTTCTCTCTTGTCTTTTTTGTCTTCTTTTATATTATTTTTTTTTTGTCTTCTTTTATTTTCTCTCTTTCATTCTCTTTTCTTTTATTACAATTCCTTTCCATATATTATTTTTGTCTTTTCATATATTGTTTCATATATTGTTTCTCTTTTGTCTCATTATTTCTCTCTTTTATTACAATTCTCTTCTTCCATATATTCTTTCCTTTTTCTTTTTCGTTATTTCTCTCTTTTCTCTTTTATTACAATTACTAAGATTTTGTCCTGTTTTTCAATCTTTCTCTCGCTTCACTTTATTGTAATTACTTCTTTTCTTTATATTCTTCATCTTTTCATTGTATATCAATTATTACAATTCGTTTCTTCCATATCGATTTTTTTTCCATTTTGTCTTCTTTTTCATTCTTTCTCTTGTCTGTCTTTCATTACAATTGCTAATTTCTTCCTTATCTTCTTCTTTTTGGCTTCTCTCTTGGTATTTATTATGTATTTATTCTTTTTATCACTCTCTTATTATTCTGGTGGGTGGGGCTTATTTTTCAATCTTTTCTCACTTCTCTCTTTTATTAAAATTATTTTGGCATATTTTTCTTTCTTTTCTCTCTTCTCTCTTTCATTACAATGACATAGTTTTGTTTTCTTTTGCATTCTTGTCTGATCCTTTCATTCATGAGAATTATTTTTTCTATATTTCCATTTTTTTATTTCGTCTCTCTTTCATTGAAATTATTTTTGCCTTATTTTTCATTCTTTTCTCTCGTCTCTCCTTCATTAGAATTATTGTTATCTTCTTTTTCATCCTTTTCTCTCGTCTCTCCTTCATTACAATTATTTTTGTCTTCTTTTAAATTATTTTCTTTTGTCCTTCTTTCATTACAATTAATTTTTTTCTCGTGTTTCTCTTTCATTAAAGTTATTTTTACTACTTTTCCTTCTTTTCTCTCTCCTCCCTTTCATTACAATCATTTTTGCCCTCTTTTTCAATATTTTCTATCGTCTCTATTTGATTACAATTATTTTTGCTATTCTTTTTCCCTCTTTTATTTTGTTTCTCTTTCATTACAAATATTTCAGCTTCTTTTTCATTTTTCCAGCAGAATTGTTTTTTTTTATCTCTTTTTCATTCAATTCTCTATTTTCTCCTTCATTACACTTATGTTTGCCTTCTTTTTCATTTTTTTCTCTCGTCTCTCTTTTATTACAATTATTTTTTTTTATTTTTCCTACTTTTTCATTTTTTACTCTCGTCTCTCTTTCACTGAAATTATTTTTCCCTTTTTCATTCTTTTCTTTTGTTTCTTTTTCATTAGAATTATTTTTGCCTTTTTTGTTCATTCTTTTCTCTCGTCTCTCTTTTATTACAATTATTTTTACTTTTTTATTCATTCTTTTATTTTGTCTCTCTTTCATTACAATTATTTTTGCCTTTTTTGTTCATTCTTTTCTCTCTTCCTCCTTTTATTACAATCATTTTTGTCTCGTTTTTCATTCTTTCTCTCGTCTTATTTTTTTACTTCTTTTTCGTTTTTTTTTTGTTTTGTCTCTCTTTCATTACAATTATTTTTCCTACTTTTTGATTCTTTTCTCTCGTCTCTCTTTTATTACAATCATTTTTGTCTTCTTTTTCATTTTTTTGTCTCGTCTCTCTTTCATTGAAATTATTTATGCTTTCTTTTTCATTCAATTCTCTCGTCTCTCCTTCATTACAATTATTTTTGTCTTGTTTTTTAATTCTTTTCTCTCGTCTGTCTATCTTTCATTAAAAAAATTTTTTGGCTTTCTTTTTCATTCTTTTCTCTCGTTTCTCTTTTTGTCTTTTTTTCATTCTTTTCTCTCGTTTCTCTTTTTGTCTTTCTTTTTCATACTTTTCTCTCGTTTCTCTTTTTGTCTTTCTTTTTCATTCTTTTCTCTCGTCTCTTTTTCATTACAATTACCATTTTTCTTCTTATCTTCTTTCTGGCTTCTCTTTTGACACTTATGTTTTTATTCTGTCTCTCTTCTCTTTTTATTCTATTTGTTTCTTTCTTATGTCTGTTTTCCTTTCTACGATTTGTCTTTCAATTTTTTCTCTTTTCTCTTTCACTCGTCTGAAAACTGATCGCCATCTTTCTCAATACAACGCAACTGCTTAACTCTTCATTTCCTTTCGACGTGTCCAACGTCTCGTGCCGAAACGGCAATGAGCAACAACTTACTAATCTTAGTAATGTCAAAATATATCATTGGCTGCAATGTCTAATAAGTAACTTACCTTTTCTCATTCGGCGTTTTCTGGCAGACGAACAAAATGAACAAGATAACAAAGCTAATATTAGTTTAGCGGAGTCATATTTTCAGCCATATTGGATTTTTGATGTTTGCTATTGCATTCTATACAAATAAAATCACTGAAGTCATAATAATGTTGATAGTTGATATATTATATCATTATATTCTTTTAGTGAATCATATTGGCGTAATCGCAACTGCGTTCAATACATACCTATCTCTGGACACATATACAGATATGAGGTAATTTGAGTTCCAAATGTCTCACGGCCATATCACGTCAGTATTTAGATGAGTGACCGCGTCGGAATACCAAGTTCTGTAAGCTTGAATGTGCGAGTTGGGGAAATAGATAATGGCTTGGAACAGGAGATCGCATAGTCCTGTTTCAATTCTAGCTGGATTCGTGCAAATTAAGAAAGATGTGAATCCACCGCTTCTTTCCCCTAGCTATGTGTTAATTGGTCGTACTTGTATCATTATCAAATTATTCTTACAATCTATGAATATTTTCTGGCTTTAAATAACCAACTAAAGGTTGATAAGCCGTAAAAACGAATCAATCAAGAAATCAAGTGAGGTTCCTTTTAGAAGGAAAATGTATTATTTTGCAAAGTAGACCACACTTTTAATTCTACATTTATTTTTCTAATAAAATTTTGTTAAAATAATCTTGGCTGGAAGGACTAGATAATCACCTGTGTCGTCTCAAGTTCGCCATGCTACAGTGATTGAAGTTGTGCTCTTTTACAATTAAATTCCATAATGAACTTAGGCGTAATTTTTTTTTAAAGTAATGAGTACTGAACTGTTAGATAATATCAGACCTGGGAGCCGTCAATTGTTGTTCTATCACGAGTACCGGGAGATTATGCATACGGCTCTGTTGATTACGCCAGATAATGCGCTCTGCCACAGAAACATTAACTAAGGTCCACACAGCATAGTTGCAGTATAAACCAGAGCTCTGTGGGTGTTGAACAAACAAATGTACATGAACAGGTGGTTGTAACATGGATTGGTGAGCGAGGCACCAGCGACCGGATATTACATTCCATCTCAACAAAATTAGAGCAACGTTGAAAGAGAAGACAAACATCTTCATTTCTCCAGTCTTCACTATACTTGTTTGTAGAACCACATTTAAGTACATATTGATTTTCTAGGCGTGGTACAAGGTCGAAAGTATGGGGCACCCAGTGAGGATCGAACTCACGATTCAGTCATAACTGTTTTACTGAGACAAGCTTGCTAACCATTACACCACACCGAGGTGCCCACCACGTCTACGTACATCTCAAGTGTTTTCATCACCTTTAAGTACACTTTCCCGCATTTATTGCTGTGTAGCAGATTAGACATCACGTGACAGTACTGATTGCTTTCTTAAAAGAACATTTTTCGATCCCTTAATACTTTTCTCAACTTTCTGATTTGTTTCATATCTTAACTGATAGCATTCTTCTGGGGATGCATTCCGGTTTTTTTTTTACGCTTCATAGTAAATAAAACAAAAATAATTTCCTTAGAAACAAAGAAAATACTACTGTACTGTTAATATCAGTCCTACTAATAATGAACTTAGGAAAAATGGTGTAAATTTGTTTTAAAGGAAAGTAATGAGTACTGAATTGTTACGTAATATCAGATCAGTGAATGCTCAACAATCTCCACAGAGAGGAAAAAGGGACTTGAAACCACAGAAATGTGGTTCTACTGAAGGATGCTGAGAATTATATAGACTTCTATGTGAGCAATGACAAAGTTTTAGAAAAGATGGAAATAAAAAGGTCATTCATAATTAACATCAAAAAGAGACGGATAAAATTTCTAGGGTACATAATGAGGGAAGAGGGCTTGGAAAATGTGATACTCACGAGACGGAAAGAAGGCAAGAGGGACGAAGGAAAACAACGCATAATCTACCTGGCGATCAGTAGATAAGTTTAGGAGAGATAGCAAATAGAGAAAATTATCAAGAGCTACAAAGGCCAGGAAATTGTGGAGAACCATAATCACTTACATCCTGAAGGAACACGGCACATAGTAGAAGAAGTATGAGCATGAGTAAATGGTTGGCGAAACAAGGTTTAGGAGAGATAACAAAAAGAGAACATTTATTAAGAACTACAAAAGAGAAGAAGTTGTGGAGAGCCATGATCACCTACATCCTGAAGGGACATGGCACATAGTAGAAGAATAATGAGCATGAGTAAATGGTTGGTGGAACAAGGTTTAGGAGAGATAACAAATAGATAAAATTTATCAAGAGCTACAAAGGACAGGAAAATGTGGAGAGCCATAATCATCTACATCCTGAAGGAATACGGCATATAGTAGAAGAAGAATGAGCATGAATAAATAGATGGCGGAACATGGTTCAGGAGAGATAACAAAAAAACAAAATTTATTAAGAGCTAAAAGGACAGGAAATCTCATATATATATATATATATATATATATATATATATATATATATATATATATATATATATATATATATATGCATCCTGGTATTTTATTTTCCTTGTGTTTCTTCACTTTCAGAAACCCATTTGCGTCTTAAAGGCTTGCATCCCTTTGCTTGGAATAAAATGATTTAAAAATCTACCATGTCATTATTTTTATTATTAATATCTTTTTAGAGCAAGGATATTGTACATACTTTATTTGGGGCTGTGAGTTTTTAATATACTTCTTTGTTGCTCATCATACAGTAAATAAATAATAGTATAATTACTGATATTCATTTTTAATTTCAGATTTATAAAGATTGATATATGTCGATTGTTTATACTAATGGTCACGAAATAAAAATCCTAGCTTTACTTTGTGGTGTTGTATGAAGTAAAGAAATGTGGAGTCCATAGAGTTAATCCTAGACTTGAAGAGGTCAAGATTGTAGTGACTCGGTTTGGTTGGTTTGGTTTAGTTGGTATGGTTTGTTTTACGGCATATCAACCTCAATGGGTTAATGCCGACAAAATTTTTATTGCTTGTAAAATTTTTTTTTCAAAAATGTATTGTTGGTAATAAGTTTTTTCTTCAAACATTCATTGCTGGTAATAACCTTTTAGGAAAAATGTATTGTTGGTATTAAAACCTATTTTCACACTTTATAGTGTTTCGACCCCAGTTTCAACCAAATTTTATGTGATAAAAAGTACATCTAAAAAGAGAAAAAGAGAAAAGGGGAGATAACCGCGGATTCGATGTCGGAACATTATCATTGATAACACTCTCCTCGCGGACACTAGTTACAATATTCTTTGTACGTGATATAATGCAAAGATATCAAAATAATAAAATCGACCAAAAATTATTTATTTTTGGTTTGCTTTGGTTTGTTTTTTGTTTAATTTCTGGTAAAAGTTTTTTCAAAAACTTACAGTTGGTAATATTATTTTTCAAAAAAAGTATAGCAGGTAATATTTTTTTCAGAAATGTATAGCTGGTAATTAAAAAATGTTATGCTGGTAATACTTTTTTTTTTTTACAAAGTATTTCTGGTATTAAAACCTATTTACATTTTCGTAGTGTTTTAACCCTAGTTTCGGGTTTAACTATTTTCCCATAGCTGGGACCTTAACAGGTGCTACCACCCCGGATCAAGGTGGACCTGAGAACACCAGCAATTAATAGGTGGTTCCACGTTCCTCAAAACCTCCTGATCAGAGGCCTTGCTGTTGGACGTAGTTTATCGTCTTATCCAGGACGCGGATGTAGTTTATCTTCATACCCAGGACTGTAGTGATTGGGAAAACATCCTGCTGTGTGTCTGTTCCACAAAGCATCAGTTCTTGGACAGAAGATGTTCGAATGGAACTTCCTCCTTACAAATGGAATACGAAGGGAATGAGGATAATTGCTCGTGGCATATACAGTTGAAAAGGGCGAGATTAATGGAACCGAGAAATGTGGCTCGTCAAAATACCTGCCATGGAAATAGCGATAGCAAAAAGCACACTATATTTCGTATGTGGAAAAGAGATTGTGAGAGGGAAAATAAATCATCACCCACAAAACCGCGTAGACGCTTTTGAACACTATTAAGACAGGCAAGTGTGAATGTGCATCTCCAACCAAGATTATAACAATATCCCATCGTTGGACTGATATGACTGGCGTAAAAAATAGGGTATATCAGACGGAGTCAGATACTTACTGGTATAGTAAAATGAACCGATTATTTTCCCACCATCTTTAGCAACAGATCGTATATATGAGGTCTAGGATGAGCTTGAGTCTCAAGAGACGTTCAAAGCAAGGAAGCCTCCTTGAAAGAACACCCATGATAGATGGAACCTCAAAAGAGAAACAAGACATTATAACGTTATTGAGGGACATAAATACAACATAGATAATGTGCAACAAAGTTGATTAGGCATCAGAGAACAACCCAAAAATAAAAGTTGGAGAACCTTGGCAAAAAAAAAAGAATTTTAAAAATTATGAAATGAAAAGAAATCTAAGAAAAATGAAAATATGTCAACCGCAACATCTAAACGCCAATGCCAACACGAATGGAATGAATACTTGCGGACATAGGTATAAATTCAACCCATGTTTACTTTTTCGATTCAAGTATAAACTAAACCAGGCTTATGACATATCGCGTTGAAACATTGGTTCCAGAATTATCAGCGAAGTTAAGCAATGTCGTCAGAACCTAAATAGGTAACCGCTTGATCAAGTGCTATAAGT